AAATAAAAATTGTAATATGTGTGTGTGACAAAACTATATATGCGAGATGAACCAGAGAAAAAAATTAAGAAAAGTAATAAAAATTAAAAAATTAAAAAACAAATCTATAGATTTGTAGAAATATTTTTTTTAAATAAATTAAATAAATACAATTCAACGTGTAATAATACAACGCGATGCATTAATGAAAAAAATTGTAATATACGTGGTCGCAAAAAAATAAAAATACAAACGAAAACATATAATAGATTTGTATTGATTTGAATAAATGCGAAAAAGGGAGGGGAGGTAATGCAAAAAAAAAGAAAATGAATTCTTGACGAGTAAAATATTATCGTACGATATTGAAAAGATAATAATAATAATAATAATAATAATAATAATAATAATAATAATAAAAAGATAATAACAATAATAAAGAAAAACGAAACGAAAGAATTTGTTCTTATTGAATTCTAAACGCGTTTAGATGTCTAATCTTTTGTGCACACCCGTTGTGTACTAACATAGCGAGTAAATATATATATATATATATATATATATATATATATGTATATTCAATTCGCGTTTAGGATTCCGTCGATGCGGTCCTATTTATCGGCGTTTATTCCGCATAAATGGGTGAATTTTCAAGACGTACAAGCCGATACGGGTAGGTATTCTCGCGTGACTAGTACACAACTTACCTTACCTACCTATTTACCTATATCTACCTACCTACCTACCTACCTACCTTATATTCGTAGACGCATAAAACGTCTCGATATTTTCATGAAAAATACCTGTAAGTCAAGAACGATTGTGAAAGATAAATATTTCTCTTATACTAACGTTAAAACGCGAGATATCGATCTAAATTTAAAATACTTCTTTTATTACTTATTCGCGTTCGCGTGTATAAAAAAAAAAAAACAATACAAATGTAATATAGATGTATATATTATACATCGTCATAATATTCTAATGTGGTATTTACGTATTAATTAGAATTTTTTTTTTTCATTTTTTTTTTTTTTTACTTTCCTTTTACATTATTTTTTTTCTTTTCGTGTATATTAAAAAAAAAAAAAAAAAAAAAAAAATAAGAAAGAAAAAGACAAAGAAAGAGATAAAAGAGAAAACTTTGACAAGGACCACTGAATGAAGTCTGTGTGGTTTTTTTNAAAAAAAAAAAAAAATTCATTCTGTCTCTGTAAAAAAAAAAATTACGACTATTATTTTGATATAATAATTATTATTATATACATATATATGAATGTATGTATAAACCATTGAAAAAATAAAATATACAAACGTAAATTTTTTATTATTAAATATTTAATTTTAAAAATTTGTCTAAAATATTTATATTTTGATAATTAAAAAAAATAACAATTAAATAATAATATAATATAATAAATAATAATAAATATAATATAATATAAAATAATATAATATAAAAAAAAAAAAAATAAAATAATATTTATACAATATATTTATAATATATTATAGTAATAATTTATATTGTAATTAATAATAATAATACTTATATAATAATATTTTTATAAATATATTATATTAATAAATAATATATTTATATATTATACTATTACTCTACTTATATATATATATATACTATAAATTATATATTATACATTGTCGTAATATTCAAATAGTATTTATATATTAGGATATTTTTTTTTCGCCCATAATAAAAAAAAAAAAAATTTTAATTCATTCAAAAAAAAAAATTAGGAATATTATTTTGATATAATGATTATTAATATATACATACATATGTATTTATGTATGTATTTATGTATATGATATGTGCACGGTTTATCGACGATCGATCGCAAAACACTTTTTTTATTTTCACCTTCGTTTTATCGATCACACCCGGTACGTACGAAAAGGCAAGGCCGTCGTCGTCTGACTGTGAGTACGCGTGAAAGCAGTTTTAAATAATTCGTACATGTAAATCTTTATGAGATATAAAGATATATATATATATATATATAGATATATATATTGTCTATATATATATAAACAATTAATATGATACATACACACGCGCGATGCATGAAGTATGTCAAACGTCCCGTAGCATGTGGTCTCTCACTCTTTGCACGTATTCGTTTGTTAAAATGCTATTATCTATGTAGTTTTTAAATGTACCATATAATAATACATAGAAACCCATATACACACATACACACACATATACGTATATATGAAATAGTATATTCCTTAAAATGTAACTTAAAATTTGGAAGAGTATTAGAAAAAAACAATATGTAATAAAATATATATATATATTTATGTATATTTGTATGTGTGTGTATTGGTGCGTAATACAACCTATGTGTGAACACACGTTCCTGCAACTCGTTCCTATCGCGTTTTTTTTTTTTTTTTACTTATATACGCGTGTAAATTACATACGTGTATAATTTTTTAACCCTGTAATAATATTTTCGCGTCGCGTAACACTTCCTTCGAGAACGTTGACGTTGAATAAACAAAATTTTTACATTTATGCGCTTTTTTTTATGTTGTTTAGAAACAACATAAATTTTTAATTAGGTTGAAAAGTTATTTTAAGGTTTCTTCAAAAAGAAATTAAATTTGTATCTTCCTTCCTTTCTGTATTAAAAAAAAAAAGAAAAAGCGAAATATATTAATTACATTAATATATAATAATATATATATATATAAATAATATTTAAATCAATATTATTTAATAGATATTTATTATAATATATTATTATATGAATATAATTATATATTTTTATAATTGAATATTATAATCATATAATATTTATTAATTAATATATTTTATAAAATAATATTATATATATATATTTATATAATTAATATTTAATTATATAATATAAATATAATTTATATATAATAAAACTATATTTATTATATATAAATATTATTATATAATTATTATTATATATGATTATATTAATATAACTATAAAATTTTTTATTTTATAATTACACATTTTATTTTTTTTTTTTTATATAATTTAATAAAATAATATTTATTATATAAATGTAAATAATTAATTTTACTATTATTTGCAAAATATTTATATGCATTATAATAATTATCTTTTTAAACAAAACAAAATGTCATTCGAACAAATTGTATTTTACATTTTGATCATAGATCCAAATTATAGAATAATATCATTTATATTAAATATAATTTATATATAATTTTATTTTCATTATTTTAATTAAATAATATTTTATTTTTACTTATATTACCAGTTACAATAGAACACACTCTGTGTATAATATACAAACGAAACTCTTGATCGTTACGTTAGCTGATAAACGGAACTTTTTTGTATATATTTTTTTTTTTTTTTTCATAAAGATCGACCATTTCAAAAATTTTATAAAGTTCCCGTTTTCTTGTAGCATTTTAAACCTCGCGTCTCGAGTTGCAATGATGTTGGGTCACGTGAAGTGTACTAGAACTTTCCTTGAGAGATCAAGTAAGCAGCCAGTGAATAAAAAAAAAAAAATAAAATAAAAAAGAAAAGAAAAGAATAGAAAAAGACAGAACGAAGGTGAGATAAATGATAGAAAAGAAATGAGAGTACGAAGGAAAGGAAGGAAAGTAAAAAACAGGAATGGGGAGGGATGGTTTGAAAAGTTGGAAATACAGTTTGTGTTACGATGTACGGTGATGATAGGGTTTCAAGTAAACCAATAAAGAAATCGACAAGATGATAAGATAAGGGTGGTATTTTTTTTTATACTTTTTCTTTTTTTTTTTTTTTGATAAGTTAGGTGTCGACGTCAACGATCTCGATGTGTTTGTTTGTTTTTTTTCTTTTCTGCATTTCCTCTTCCATTTTATCAGCCGTTCGTATCTTTCTCGTTTAAATTCCAAACCCCCGTCTTTGAACCCTTAAAGAAAAACAAAAAAAAAGAAAAAAAAAGAAAAAGTGCAATAAAAAAGTATACGACACCATCCAAACAGAACGTTTTCTTCACACCAGCCTTGAATAAAGAAAAAAAAAAAAAAGAGAGATGAATAGAATAAATAAAAAAATTAAAAAAAA